AAAAAAAAAAAAAAAAAAAAAAGACGTGTCTGACTCAACAGATGGTGGCATCTGGCCAGAGGACCGCAGCACATCAGCTCCCACCGGCTTGGAGGAACAAGACTGAAAGCAGGCCGCGGCGTAGGGGACTCCCTGCTCCAGCCCCACCCTGAAACCTTCTACCAACAAGGAATGCAGCTCTGTCCATGAACCCCAGAGCAGGCTGATGGAGGACCGGCCCCAGGGCCCTGGCGTTCAGCAGGGACTTGTCCTGAACACCCTGCGGGCCCCCTTCTTCACCGTGTCCCAGATTCTGGGAGCACAGGAAGCACGTGGCCTGGGCCCGGCCTCACCCGCAGGCCACTGGGAAGAGACTGGACTGAGTGATTGGAATCTGAGGGCACTGGACACACTCAGCACCTGGGAAAGAAGAGCGTGTGGACAGCAGAGCATGACCCATTTACGTTTATAGGAGACACAGCGGACCAGGCCGGCAGTACAGTCAGCATCTCTACTTCAGGGAGCTGGCCAATTCCAACCAGCACAGAAATCAGGAACGTAAGTGTACAGCTTCCAGGCACTCTGCGGACGCTCAGTCCCACTCCCCCTCCCCCTCCGCGTCGTCCTCGTGGGGCGCCTCTACGTCGTTGAGGTGGAAGTTGGCCATCATGTCGCGCACAGCCAGCATCAGCCTGTTGAGGCCCTGGTTGCGGTTCAGACCCCCAGCCACTCCTTCCTCGGGTCTCTCCCCCTGCAGCAACGGGACACGTCTAAGCAGGGGGCGTCCATGCTGGGACTCGGAGCCCAGGGCCCCGGCAGGAAGGCACCGTGGAGCCCCAGGTGGCCCTTGCCCCAGTGTCAGACCCTGAAGCCTCACCAGGTCCCTGTGAGGACAGGAAGCTCTCAAAACCAAAAGTAGCGTCTAGGCCAAGCCAGGCCCAGAGAGTGGGGTCAAGATCAAGCTGGACCGGCTCCCGGGCCCTACGTAAGGCCTGGCTGCTCCCACCTGAGCAGGCCCCAGCTTCCCCAGCAGAATGAGCATCCGCTGGCGCAACGCAGCCTTGGCCCTTCCCTGCCCCTGCGCCGGCCTGCACAGGCCTGGCTCAAGACGGCTCCAGATATCTGCACTGGAACCAATGTGCCCGCACCCACCGGGCAGGCAGTGTCTGGGACCAGCTCAACCTACCTCCATGGTATAATTTGGCAACAGTGACCGAAAGAAGAGCGCGATCGTGTTTCCATGGCTGATGGGACTTAATCTGAAAAACAAAGTAAAGAAAAGTCAGGAATGAAACGGAACCGATACTTGTGGGACCTAATCCAACTCCTAGGGCTGCCTGCCAGCTGCCTCTCTGCAGGGACACGGAGGGGCCCCACCCAGGTGCAGAGCAACACAGCTGAGGACAGGCCTGTGATTCCCACAAAGCAGAGATCAGGGCCCTGGGTGGGCAGTGAGGCTTCCTCATCAGCTTGGGGTAAGCCTGCAGACAGCAGGAACAGGATGAGGGAGACCAGCTCTGCCGAGGCAGACACGGGGTCCACAGCAAGGATCTCATGGCCACTATCTGCCACCGCACAGGTGCCTTGCTTTGAAAAGCTATAGTTTCAATGCCTCCTTCAGCAGTGAGGATTTGAGAGCACAGACTCCTTAAAGGAAGGCGGAAGCTTGCAGATCCTGTGTTAAGTGGACACGCTCCAGGGGTGATGGACTCCACAGGATGCTGAGCAGCCCAGGCCTAAGCAGCTCTGGGAGGGCGAGAGACTGTGGTCCATGAGGGGGAACCTGTGAGGCAGCCACGCACTGCAATTCCTCAGCGCTACCACCTACCACTGCAGGAATCATCCATCACAACGACTGTGTGGGTGACAGGCCCTCGGTAAGGCAGGTGCTCTCAAGGCCAGAGGAAAGGGAGAAAGTCCTTCAATGACCCAGATGCTGAAAGCCACCCCAGACACACACCAGCAGCCTGGGAGTCGGCTTGGACCTGCTCCCCAGCCCTTTCACCCTGCAGCTCTGCTCTCCCGGCCTGGCCACAGGGCTGTGTGCTCTGCTCCTGGCGGCCCTTGGCAGCCCTGCTCTCCTGGCCCAGCTACATGACTGTAAGCTCTGCTCCTGGGCCTTGGCACATGGCAACTCTGCTGTGGAACATGAATACCCCTCTCCCCGCTGAGCCTGGGGAAGCCACATTCTTCTGTGTCTCAGCACACCAACCCCTCCTTCCTTACTACAGTTTTTGTTGTTTTTTTTTTAGACGCAGTCATGCTGTCACCCAGGCTGAAGTGCAGTGGTGTGGTCTCGGCTCACTGCAACCTCTGCCTCCCTGGTTTCAAGTGATTCTCCTGCCTCAGCCTCCCAAGTAGCTGGGACTACAGATGCATGCCACTATGCCCGGCTAAGTTTTGTATTTTTAATAGAGACAGGGTTTCACCATGTTGGCCAGGATGGTGCAGTTTGGATTTTACATTTATTTCTAGATGCTAAAATTCATGTTTTCCCCACATCACTGCACACCTGCTTCCGCTGTTACTCCCAGCTGCTACAGAGCATCCCCACAGGCACAGCTGTGACCCCCAGATGACACTGTCCCTCTCCCCTCCTTTCCTGACCATGTGCCCCAGCTCTTAGCACCCATCCCAAGCTGGCAGCCCGTCCCTGTGAGCCCTGAAGCACTGACCTTAGCTGCACAAGCCAAGCAGTGAATGGGGGGGTGGGAGGTACCTCTCGGGCCTGACGTAGGAGTAGACGGTGTCCGCGGGAGGCAGAGGGTCAAACCCCATCACAGACTGCGTGGTCACGTCCTTCAGAAAGGGACACAAAACGAAGATGCTACGGATGCTGACAGGGGGCCTCTGCCTCTCCCAGCAGAGTCCTTCAGTCGGCTCCAGCAAGGACGACGCATCTGCTGAGAGATAGCCACAGAGTCTGACAGAAACGGCTGTGCTTTTTGTACCAAACAAACTTTGGGTGAGGGTGGGACCGCCCTTCTGCCACCAGGACACTCACGGGAGTGGAGGTACACCGGCACAGCGTCTGCCCTTCTCACGGGGGTATGTGGTGGGAAAGGAAGGGGGTCACGTGCTGCTCACGCCTGCCAAGATCTTCACCACGGGTCAGAAGCTCTCACTTCAGCAACTGCAGGCTACGGGGACCCTGGGCTGCCCGAGGGTCACACAGCTCCTGGTGTACTCCCTGCCCCGCCCCTCAGCCCCTCTAGTGATGACAGCAGCTCACAGCCCCAGACAAGGCCAGCCATGTTAGTCACCAGGATCTGCAGAGCAGCCAAAATTAAACCAGGAGGTGCTAAGCTGTCCTCAGTGATGGCCCCTGGGCCTGCGACCTTCTGACTTGCTGGTTTCTCAGTCATTCTGTCTTATCCCGTAACAACAGTATAAAGTCTTTAGGTTTGGAGTCAGAAACAGAACCTCCAGCACAGGAGGTCAGAGCAGGACTATACCTCATGACTACAGAGAAGCCCCCACAGCTGCACCTGCAGTCCCAACTACAGAAGGAGCAGCTCACCAAGGTGACTACTCAGCTCATGCTCAGCCCCAAAGGATTTCTCTCTCAAAACCAAGCATCTGAACCCCGGCTGCCAGGAAAGGAGGAGCCCTTGCCGTGGCAGAGCTGGGCCGTGAGGGTGCTCATACTGCGCATGCCTGCATGTGGACTGCCAGGAGACATGGGCAGTACATGTGACTGGCTTACACAAAGCTCCCATTTCAGCCCCTCTCCTTACCGGGGGCAGGGCAGCAACGGCTTCCTTGATCTCAGAGAGGATCACATGGCGGTGGATATTCCTGGGTGCGCGCTGGTAGAGCACCTTCCGCCTGAGGCCGAGGAGAAGCAAGGCACAGCAGATGAAATGGTAACAGCCACCGCGCTGGGCCCCGCCCTGCCCCGCCCAGCACGCACCACCTCGCTGCATTTCTAGTGGCACCAAGAATGGCACATTTCACTTCCCAGGCAGAGGCAGCACAGCTGGTCCCTGGCCTGCAGTAAGGGAGGCTCTTAGGGGCCAATCCCAGCTGCACGGCCTGACTCAGGCCCTCCAATCAAAAAACAAGATTGATTGGAGCCACGGCCAGTGGCTTCTTGTGGGAATTCAATGAGTTTGTCTACATGAAGTGACACCTGGGCATGTCCCCACTGTCGCTGCTACAGGCAGAGGCACTGGTCCCTGCTTGAAGTCACTCTGGGAAGGCAGCACAGGGAACAAAATGCTTTCTTGTCCATGAGAAATGTCTGGTCCAGCCTGGGCGCAGTGGCTCACACCTGCAATCCCAGCACTTTGGGAGGCCGAGGCAAGCCGATCACCTGAGGTCAAGAGAGCGAGACCATCTTGGCCAACATGGTGACACCTCGTCTCTACTAAAAATACAAAAAGTAGCCAGTCGTGGTGAAATGCGCCTGTAGTCCCAGCTACTCAGGAGGCTGAGGCAGGAGAATCACTTGAACCCAGGAGGCGGAGGTTGCGGTGAGCCAAGAACGCACCACCGCACTCCAGCCTGGCAACAGACTGAGACTCCGTCTCAAAAAACAAAGCAAGAAAGATGTCTGGTGCAGTGGGGAACACAAACACACGGATGGGGCCCACGACTGCCAACGGCTGGGGCACCGGTACCTCTTAGGCACCCCCAGCACGGCCTCACATCTGAGGCAGACAGACTTGACCGTGGAGGTGCAAATGGCCGCCACTCCCACGTGGTCCACACTGAGCCTGGCCACGCTGGTGGGCAGAACCACGGTGCTGACACACACAGAATTAGCACAGGGCCAAGGGCACAGGCACACCAGACAAGAACAGGCAAGGGGCTGCCTGCCAAATGCAGAGCACCAGGGTCCAAGCCTCTGACATGCTCACATGCAGGACAGAAGACTTGCTCTCAGCTCTGCCAGATTTATTTACCCCCAAGATGCTGGTGTGAGAGACTCATCAGCACCCCAGCTGATGTGGAAACATCACACAACCAGAAGCTACCAATCCAGTCCTAAGCACCCGGGAACGCCAGCTCGTGACCTGTGCTGATGACCACAGCTGCCTCCCAGGAAGCCTCTGGGACAGGACAGGGCTGTGCTCCCTGTTAGGCTCCATACCGGCCCCATGGCTGGCCACACTGCAGGGGAGGCCAAGCTGCTCACAGCCCTCCTCGCCTCCAGAATCTGAGGCCCCTGTGTCTGGGACGAGGACCCCTGAGGAGGGGGTGTGGCAGGGCTGCTGCCCCACGCAAGCCCCTGGAACTCACCTGTGCTCACAGGCTTCCACCGCAGGGTCTCCGGCATCCACTGCCTGCAGCACCCTGTGGACGTTCTCCTCCAGCCAGCTCATGGTGGCGGGCTCTTTCCAGAGAAAGTGTGACCTCCCGAGATAGAGGCTCACCAGCTGGCTCAGGGCAGGGGGCTGGCTGGAGGAGAGCAAGGTCTGTGAGCAGAACACTCTTCGGGCCAGCAGAGCCCCAGGGGTGGGCAGACGGGAGGTGCAGGGAGGGCCCTGTGGGCTGCTGGACCCGAGAGCGTGGGGCTGGGGCACACAGGTATGTGCCATGGCCTCTTACGCACTGTCTGTGTTCTTTAGGAAGCACAACTGACTCCACAGAAATGTGAAAATATAACCAGGGCAAGTCCATCTATGGGCACACAGGGCGAGCCCTGGACGCCACACTGGCCCCCGAGGGCTGGGGGCGGACCTGGAGGTGACACTTGCCCCTGAGGGCTGGGGGAGGACCTGGAGGTGACACTGGCTCCTGGGGGAGGACTACTGTGGCATGCACTTTCTCCTGTGCTTGCTCTCTCTCCATTATTTTTTTGAGGCCATGTCTCGCTCTGTCACCCAGGCTGGAGTGCAGGAGCACAGCTTATTGCAGCTTCAACCTCCTAGGCACAAGCCAACCTTCCACCTCAACCTCCCAAAATGCTGGGATTAGAGGTGTGCCCCACTGCGCCCAGTACCCTCTTTATGAGCCTGGGTTTTAAGCTGGAGGCTGCTCACCTGCCCCACCTGGGATTTTCCACCCATCAATGAGGGCTCCAGAGCCCCCCCAGGTCGGATGAAAGTCCCTGAGGTCCCTATCACAGCCCCTCCTGCTGCTGGGAGTAGGTCCCTCAAGGCCTCTCAGGATGACTGAAAATGGCTCCTCCTAGGCTCCAAACCCACAGACACCCCACAGATGGGCACCCCTCAGACAGATGGACACCACACAGACATCCCACAGATGATCACCCCACAGACAGGCATCCCACAGACAGATACCCCACAGATAACCACAGACGGGCACCCCACAGACAATCACCCCAGAGACGGGCACCCCACAGACATACGCCCCACAGTCATCCCACAGACGGACACTCCAGACACCCCACAGAGACAGACACCCCACTGACGGATACCCCACAGACGGGCACCCCACAGACATATACCCCACAGACATATACCCCACAGGCGGGCACCCCACAGAC